GGGCTCCTCCTCATGTGATTTCAATCGCATACTGGGCCTTTAGTATATCTACACTAATAAAAGAGAAAGATGCAAATTGACTGTACCTTCACGACGCCCACAAGCCAATCAAGTGAGTATGCAAATTAACCCAATAAAGATGGTGGGTTAATTTGCATATGCAGGTGCTGAGCAGCCGGGGGCGGGGCGGGACACTTGCGTCATTGCCGTGGCAATGACACAGGTGTTCCGCACCACCCCAGCCGCTCTGGGCCTCTGGGCAGCGTGGGAAGGTGGAAAGGTGGCTCCGGGCCTGAACAAAGGCAGAAAGGTGGCTCCGCGCTGGAGTGAAGGCAGTGCTGGCAGCCAGGGAAAGGAAGGCCCATTCTTGCACAAATTTTCGTGCATCGGGCCTCTAGTATATATATAAAACACACACACAAATAGGCCCTGGCTAGGTAGCTTAGTTGGTTAGAGCATTGTCCCAATACCCCAAGGTTGTATGTTTGACCCCTGTCAGGGTACATACACAAGAATAAACCAATGAATGTATAAATAAGTGGAACAACAAAGCCATGTCTCTCTATTTCTCTAATCAATAAATACAAATTAAAAAAACAAAACCAAAAACCATAAATAATAACTATATATGGTGCCAGGTGCATACTGGGAATATCAGGGGAACACTTTGTAAAATATATGATTATTTAACCACTATGCTGTACACCTGAAACCAATATAAAATAGTGTTTAAAGTCAACTATAATCGAAAAAAATACATAGGTACATGGTTATTCATTGCTACATTGTTTTAATTATAAATCATTGCATAAAATATCTCTAACTTAAATTTGCTTTCCATATATTCCTTTTTATCATCATTTTATGGCCTGCCTTATCTTTTGATTGGGTTATAAACTGCTATTCAACTTTCTAATCCTTCATGGGAAATCCACACTATTTTCTACATAGTAGCACTGAATAAATGTTTGCTGATTTGAAAATTAAAAAACAAAACAAAACACAAACATAGAAGCATGCTAAAAATCACTGCCCAGCATCTTGCTTTTTCACTTAATATATTCACTTACTCAATAAATATTTACTGAGCACCTACAATGTGCCAAGCATGTTTTTAGGTACTTGGAATTTGGTAGCGAACAAAACAGATACATTCCTTGCCCTCATGGAGCTTACATTTTTGTGGGAAATAAATAAACAGGTAAATTTATAGTGGAAAGTGATAAAGGCTATGGAGAAAGGCAGGTTAAGGGGGATAAGGAGGAAGTGTGTAGGGAAGGAGGGGAGGCAGTTGTTGCTATTTTACATGGGGTGGTTAGCAAAAACCTTGCCCGTGAAGTGATATGTGAGCCCAGGCCAGAAGAAAGTGAGAGAGTGAACCATGCATGGATCTAGAGTTGCACTTTTAAAGCAGAGGGAACTTCCCCTGAGGGAGGAGTGTACTTCATAGAAGGAACAGCAAATAAGGCAACCCCGTAGCTGGACTGAGTAGATGTACCTTAGAGATTCTATGTCATGAGAACTTTCTTATTCTTTTTTACATCTGCATCCTGTTCTATTGTATGTATGCACCATAGTTTAAGCAGTCTCAGCTGATGGGAATTTAAGAGACTCTTGGAATTTTGGTTCTAGTAGTTACCTTTGCAGTGTTAGAGAACAAAATTCAACTTAGTACATTTGAAAATCTGTTTAGCTTTATTAAGTGATTCATGAATCGAGCAGCATCCCATCGAGCAATAGAAGGACCCTCCCAAGGGTTGTACAACATGGAAGATTTTTATACTCAAAAAGAGGGTGGGACTAAGAAGTTAAAAGAATGGATTATTTCCGGCAAGGACAACTTTCCTTAGGGGAATGCAGGACTTTTTATCAGGCAGATCACCTCATCACTAGTGTCGATCAGGAAATTCCAGACTGATTGACTTAAAATTTCACTCCTGGGAGAGGCTGAAACTGCAGTTAGGTTAGTTATTACGTTTTGGTTTGGTGCTGAATTCCATTTTGTCTTTTTTTTTGTTTTTTTAACAGTAGCCTCCTTAAAAAATAATATTCAGAAAAAAGTAAAAGCATGATTCTTGTTTGAACAGATACAAGAATGAACGTGTGTTTAAGGTTTTACTTTACTCCTTAATTAGTGAGGGAACCAGACCAGTGTTATAACAGGTTCAGAGGGAAAGTCATAGAAACACAAATTTAAATGTAATAAAGGGTTTCTATTACAAATGGAGGCAACACTGTCTTTGCAAAGGGGGAAGGAAGTCAAAGGAAACTACTGTTATCGGTGGAAGAGGAGTTCTTGGGGTGCCACTGGGATAAAAATTTCAAGAGCCCACATAGGAGAATGGTGCCATAGGAAGCTTATTCCTGTGGACTCGAACCCCTGAGTTTCCACGGTCCCATTTCCCTTTGTCCCCCCAAGGAAGAATGTAGCTGTGGCTTCAGCAGAGCTAGAATCAGAGCCAATGTCCAGAAATTTTGCTCCATATTGGAGCAGTGTCCAGTTCAGCATTAGGCTAGCTTAGTTTGTGTTTTCCACTGCAGTCCATCAGTACATTGCATAGCTGTGGGCACATGGGCGCATGCAAGAGAGCCAAGAGCCAAGAGCCAAGAGCCAGCAGAGCAAGCTCCTTTGTTTAGGGGATTATGTATCCCATATTTTTGTGGGCTTGCAGTGGTCCTGCCCATTCTGGCCAATGATCTGTGTTCCAAGGTTTGACTGACAGGCATCTTCCCTAGTCACCCCAACTTCACTGCACATGCATCTACTAGTATTTCCCCTTCGTTGGACCCCTTCCCCCAGTGATCTGTGGGGAATGGGCCAGTGGTTCCCTGGGGAATGCAAAGTTGCAGCTTCCTGATCAAGCTGCCCAAATGTTTCTCTTTCCCTCTCTCTCTCTCTCTCTCTCTCTCTCTCTCTCTCTTTCTCTCATCAATAAAAAACATATTTAAATAAATAAATAAGTAAATAAATATTTAAAAACTGCAGTTCAAGCTAACCCACTGTTGACTAACATGTTATTTATTCTCCTTCATTATTAAATATATAACTTCAGATGGCCTGAGAAGGCGAGGTTTGCCTGTAGACCTTCCTTTGATTCCTTCGAGTTCTGTGTAACAGGCAGCTTCTAAGATGGCCCCCAGTGGTCCCCAACTCTTGATATTTACACCACTGTATAACTCTCTCCCTTTGAATGAGGGCGAGACCCCTGACTTGCTTTAACCAATAGAATGTGTTAAATAGGATGGGCTGTCACTTCCATGGTTAGGTTACATAAGATAGAGAGTAACTTCTCTTTTGCCAGCAGGCGCTCCCTTCCTGGCTTTGATGAAGCAAGTTGCCATGTTGGAGGGGCCTACATGATAAGTGAATGAGGGTGGACTCTGGCTAAAGCAAGCAAAGAACGAAAGCCTTCAGTCCAACAACCTCTGAGGAGCAGATTCTTCTCATTCAAGCCTCCAAATAAGACCCCAACCCTGACAACACCTTGCACCTGCCCCTGAAACAGAGGACCCCACTAAGCCTACCAGTTTCCTAACCCACAGAAACTGTGAGATAGTAAATATATACTAGTGTAAGTCACTAATTCTGCAGTAATTTGCTATGTAACAATAGAAAATGAACATAATGGCACTATTGGAAGAGTTGGCTTTCAGCCCTGGCCCCCAGTTAGTGGCCTACTCATCTCTTTCCAACCCCTTCTTTATTTGGAATCTTGACGGGCCTCCTGTTCATCTCTACAGACACTCCACTCCCTACTCCTAGACATCCTTTAGGCCTAGAGGGGAGTATATACTCAGCTGGTGCTGCCCCTGAGAGCAGTGCTGCCCTTGGGAGGATGGGCCAGGGGACAATTTCCTGCAAGCCCTGGGAATGGCTCAGGGCCATTTATGCAGGGAATTCCAGGGCACTTGGTACTCAGAACATTCCAAAGGAGGGGCTTCAGGTCCTTGACTACAACCCCCCCCCCCCCCCCGCCCCACTCCCTGGCTCTGCCACTGCCCCTTGCCCCAAGACTCTCCATCTCAAATGAAAGAGCTTCTCAGCTAAAGAAGGAGCAGAGCAGGCCCCTCTAAAGCACATGGCCGCGGCCAGGGGCCCCTCTCACCCACTCTATGGCCAGCACGGTACTCATGAGAAGCACTGGCTGGGGGTCAGGTGGATTGGATCAGACCCAGAGAGCTGCCTGCGGAGCCTAAATGAGTAGAGCTGCTGCACATCTGAGGGGAATCTTCAAAGAGAGCCAGGCTGAGCTGGGTGGTAAAAGTGGGAGGACGTAGGAGGGGAATTGGAGGGCCCCCAGGAAAGCAACCAGAACTGAGTCAGTGTCCCAAAGGTATAGTCTCTTTAGGGTGGAGTGGCGAAGAGTTTGGGCTGTGAAGTCGGAGGGCATCTGTTTAAATCCTGCCTGCCTCTGCACTCTGGTTGTATGATTTCAGGCAAATTACTTAAACCCTCTGAGTGTCAGTTTCCTCATCTGTAAAATGGGGATAAGAACTATCTGTTCCATAGGTTCATGGAGAAGATAAATGCCTGCAAGGTGCTTCATGAATATTGGCTACCATTAGGGAAACTGAGGCTCCAAGGGCTATTTTTCTGCTCCTTGGTGCTACTTGCCTTGCCTCAGAGGGAGAATGAGGAGGGCTTATTCAGTTGCTTGAATACTCACTTGCTCAACAAGCTTTTATGGAAACTCACAGAGCATGGTCCTAACTTACCCCCTCATTCCTCACACTCCATGAGAACCATGACGGGTCAATGGGAAGGTGCTACTGGAGCGTGGAGATATGGGTTCTGTGGTGCCTGTTCTCAATGACAGTGTGCCATTGGGCTAGAGAGGGGTGGGCAAACTTTTTGACTCGAGGGCCACAATGGGTTCTTAAACTGGACCGGAGGGCCGGAACAAAAGCATGGATGGAGTGTTTGTGTGAACTAATATAAATTCAAAGTAAACATCATTACATAAAAGGGTACAGTCTTTTTTTTTTTTTTAGTTTTATTCATTTCAAAGGGGCCGGATCCGGCCTGCGGGCTGTAGTTTGCCCACGGCTGGCTAGGCACTGGTCCCTGTTGCCTCATCTGTTAGGGTAGTTACCAGTGTAACCCCCTCAAAGTATGGGCCACTGATCTGTAGCCTCGGCTTCCTGGATCATGTTAGAATGCAAAATCTCAGGCCCCTCCTCAGAGTCAGAGCCTCTGGGGTGGCCCCTGAAATCCCCCTCGCTAGGGGATTTTTTGCTCACTGAAGTTTGAGGATCCCTGGGGTGAGCTATCAGAAATCTTCACAGACCTGGCTCCACAGATCCTCCTGGGTGCCAATGGGCTGGGCCTCACTTTTATAGGCACCTGCAGGGTTCTGGGGAAACATGTTCCCGGCTGCCCGTTAGAGTTTAGAAACGGCTATGGTGTGAATGTTTGTGTCTTCCCAAATGCATCTGGTGAAACCCTAATCCCGAAAGGTGATGGTACGAGAAGGTGGGCCTTTGGGGAGGTGCTTCATCTTGAGGGTAGAGCCTCGTGAGTGGGATTAGTACTTTCACAAATGAGGCCCCACAGAGCTTCCTACCCCCTCTCCTCTGGATGACACAGTGAGGAGTCTGCATCCTGGAAGAGCGTGCTCACCGGACCCTGCTGGCACCCTGACCTTGGATGTCCAGCCTCCAAAACTGTGAGATATCATTTTTTGTTGTTCTTAAGCCACCCACTGTATGCTATTCTGTTATAGCAGCCTGGACAGATAAGATACAGCTGGGCTGGGGGCCCAGTGCAAGGAAATTCAGGGCCCCTTGTTCAAAAGCAGGAGAAAAACTTTTTTCTTTCTTCTGTGGGCTCTGTCTTGACTCATCGTGTGTTTTTAAATTTGCTATTTAATGTCATGCCCTCTAGGCATGGGAAGACTTGGGTGAGTACAACCCTCAGGGCCTTCTGGGATGCTGCCCCAACCCCCACCCTCCATGTGTTTGCACCCAGACCTCTGCTGAGGGCACTGCAGCTCACAGGGTGACCTCTGAGCTCCGGTTGGAGCAGAAGTGATTACAGCTGGAGGAAAGTGCAGCCAGCAGCAACCTGGTATTTAGGGTGATTAACGAACGGACTGGAAATTTCCTCTGCTTCGGCCTCAGCCTGCACCTGAACTGTGGCCTATGCAGCAGTCCATTTCTGTATAATATCTTTTGACAGCTGGAAGGAGGGCAAACCCAAAAGACTAACCCAATTACAGTGAAGGAGAGATCTGGCTGCTCTCTGCTGACAAGGTGAACACAAGGGCATCCCAATCGGGGGTTCGGTGCCGGCAGAGCCAGTGCTTTCCTGTCCAGCTCCCCTGCATGTGTTTACTTTGCGACAAATGGTGGCTGTGACTCCTGGGCTGTGTAAGGTAGGGTGACGTGAAGAGAGCCAAAGTGGTTTGGCCTCCGTGTTCTCCCCTAGCCAGACCTGCGATAGGTCCGCCCAGGAGAGGTTATAGTGGTAGGAGCGCTGACCAGGAACTCGGAAAAGCTGCGGTCTCCTCCTCGAGTAGACATTGAGCCTCCCTGGGCCCCAGGATTCTCATCTGTAACATGAAGGTGTGAAATTAGATTATCCCCAGCTCCACCTCTCCCTTACTTAACATTTAATATGGTTAAGGACTTAAAAGAGGCGTTTCAGCCTGGGAATTAATTTTACGGGAGGAGTACTAGTCAAAGAACTTCGGGCAGAGTGGGATATAAACCAGAAGGTGTTACACCCATGAAAGGCTAAACTGTCATTAGAGTGTGACGTTTCTTCATAGGCAATGGCGAGCCGTTGGGCATCTAAAGAGGAAAGGGCTGTGTTCAGAGCAGCACCGGAGGAAGGTGTAGTGGGCGGCCAAGTTTCAGAAGAATTGAGGAGAAAAGAATCCAGGTAAGTCATTTCCAGCAGCACTTCATGGAGCGGCCGACAGCCTGCAGAGCCACACGCCCAAGTTTTATTGTGACCTCTGCCACACATACCTCACTCATGACTCACCTGCCGTGAGAAAGACAAAGAGAATGCGAAAGATTACTACCAGAAATGGAAGCACAGGCTCAGAGTCCGATTGGCAAAGCACCCAAGATACCTCTACTCCACTCTCTGCTCTTCCTCCTGCAGAGGAGACGATCCCACCTCCCCCCCGTCCCCCTGGTCCTCCCATGATGCCAGTGATGGGCCCTCCCCTTCCTGGGATGATGTCAGCTGGGCCCCCAGTGATGAGACCTCTCACCCATCCCCTGATGATGCCCGCTGGCCAGGAATGACTCCACCAGACAGATCAGGAGAGAGGGGAGCCTCTTGCTGTCAGTTTTATGTTACTTCTCCACTTCACCAGGTGACCATGGTGCTGTGACTTCAGTTTTTTTCTAATGGCTCGACAAGGAAGACTTGCTCCCCCTTCTTTTCAGAGAGAATAGTTTTGGAGGGGAGTAGGGGGACAAAAAAAAAAAAAGGCAAGTTTCATTTGTATTGTGAAATGTGAAAATAAATTTGTCAATTCTTTTAGTTAAAAAACATAAAAGAATCCCGGTAAGAGGCTATGCGTACATACATGTCTTCACCTTTACCAGGTAGCACCAATCTGCTTGCCTAAGGCTGTCCTCACTCCCTCCAGCGGGCTAAGAGAGTTCTCCTTTCGGCAAACTCCCTCTATAACTTGGCATTCTCAGGCCTCTACATTTCTGCCAACCACATGGATGTGAATCAACATTTCATTGTAATATTAACTTGCGTTTCCCTGGTGAGTAGTGCATTTGAATGTCTTTTGTGTGTTTATTGGATATTAATGTTTCCTCTTCTGCGAATTTCCTGTTAAGTCTTTTGTCTATTTTTTTTTTAATGTTCTTTTAAAATGTCCACCCCCATAGAATCTGGATACTAATCTAAAGTTTTAAGGTTTCCTTTCATCTTTAGGCCTTCACACACCAAATTTATTTTGTGTACTAGAGACCCTATGCCCAGATTCATGCACCAATGGAGTTTCTTGGCCTGGCCTGCAGGGATCGGGCTGAAAGTGGCCTGGTGCACGGATTTGTCCAGGGCGTGTCTGGCCTGTCTCTCCTAGTCCCAATCAGCCAGACCTCAGCAGTAAGCTAACCTACCGGTTGGAGCATCTACCCCCTGGTGGTCAGTGCACGTCATAGCAACTGGTCAAATGGTTGAACAAACGGTCAGACACTTAGCATAGTAGGCTTTTATTATTTTGTATATGATGTAGGGTATGGTAAGGTAAAAATCCAATGCTATCACTTTCCATATGGATACCAGATGGTCCCAGGACCACTACTGAATGCCTCATGGCCCTTCCCTGCCTCCCAGGCCAGGAAGAGGGTTACATAGGTGAGGGTTAGACAACTCTTGGGGTTGAAGGGTCTGCAGCATGGGCCGGTCCCTGGGTGCCCTGCTTGCCCACACTATTCCTGCCCTCTCTGCCCTTCCAGAGGACCCAGCCCATGGCAGAAAGGCTTGTGCCAGCATGGACACACACAAGACTGAGTCTCCTGCCCAGGAGTGCTGGTTCCTGAGACAGAAGAGTCTTTGTGAAGAAGGGAGAAGAAGAACCCTGATGCCTCCTGTGGGCTCCAGGCGGAGGAAGGAGGGATGCCTGGCACTGAGGGGAGGCAGGGCCTGGACTGGAGCCTCCAAGGTGCGGCGAGAGGCTTTCTAGATTTCTGAGGCTTCTGGGGCGAAGGGGCTGGGTCCCCTGGAAGGGGAGAGAGAAAGCAGGAAGAGGGCCTTTCTCCTCTCACTGTCCTGAGGGGACCCGGCAGGCTCTGCCCCCGCCTTCTTTCTAGAATGTGGGAGGTACTTGAGGGCACCCCAGAAAGTTGAGGCTACGGCATAGATATGGAACAGATAACAGTGGAAGTAGAGAAAGATTGTCTTTTAAGTCTCTTTCAATACTTCTAATTGTATCTGGGGGAAAGACTCCCTTTGGTCTAACCCAGCGGTTCTCAACCTGTGGGTCTCGACCCCTTTGGCGGTCGAACGACCCTTTCACAGGGGTCACCTAAGACCATCCTGCATATCAGATATTTACATTACGATTCATAACAGTAGCAACATTACAGTTATGAAGTAGCAGCGAAAAGAATTTTATGGTTGGGTCACAACATGAGGAACTGTATTTAAAGGGCCAGAAGGTTGAGAACCACTGGTCTAACCCGTCAACCCTGTGGAATGCTTGCTAATCCCCCCCTTTTAACTCTGAGAGACTGGGCCTGAGGCTTTGGAGACCTGGGAGCTGGGGTATCTGACTAGATATTTAATAACGTTGCTTTGTTTGTGTTGTATTTGCTTGTTGGGGGTTGCCTTCTATTCTGACAAGTGATGGCAGTTTGCTATTAGTGATGCTAATAGAAAGTTTCCTTTTAATACATGTATTTGAGCAAAAGAAAGCCGCCGTATGTGTGTAAGATCACATTTATGTGAACATCTGGATAAAGAGATGTAGAAAAGGAGGGTCAGCAGAATGTTGATGGCAGTCAGATCCCGGTGATTTTTGTCTTCCTTATGCTTTTTTTTGGTATTGTTTGCATTTTTTCAATGAGCATACGTTATTTAAAATATCAGAAAATAACTACTTTTGTTATGGAGAAAGATACATATGTTTAAAGGAACATACTAAATACATAATAATGCAAGGAATATATTATATGGCTTTAGCAACATGGTTGACTTGGCCTGGGTGACTTTGTGCTGGGAGACTATGAGGACCGGCCCAGGCAAACAGCCAGGACGGCCTACCTGTCACGGGAAATTTGGGCACCTACTTACTGCTGGGGGCTGGGCCTTGTCTTTTCAGCCCTGTCCAGAGGATTTCATTTCAGTGTCTCACTGACAACTTTTGAACCAGGTAAAAGCATTGATCGGTTGATGAGCTGGGACTGAGTTTCTGTGGTGTGTTAGACCAGGGGTCCTCAAACTTTTTAAACAGGGGGCCAGTTCACCGTCCCTCAGACCGTTGGAGGGCCGGACTATAGTTTTAAAAAAAAACTATGAACAAATTCCTATGCACACTGCACATATCTTATTTTGAAGTAAAAAAACAAAACGGGAACAAATACAATATTTGTATTTGTGTGTGGCCCGCGGGCCGTAGTTTGAGGACCCCTGTGTTAGACCTTTGCGTTGCCTGCATTTAGATGCCTCAGGTTGGGGTGGACAAAGGGAATTTGGCCAGGGTCTCGATTTCTCTTCCTGGTGCTGTCCTATGAATGGTCTTGTTGTAGAAGACCGAAAAAACCCAAGCACCCCTTAGAGAAATGGAGATACACAGCTTTATTATGCCGGCGGTCTCAGAGGAGTTGCTTCCAAAGTCTGAGCAAACCAATATGGTGGAAGCTCTTCTTTTATCCCCTTTGGTTTCTTTGTCCCCCAAATATGGATGGGACTTCCAGACCTTTCCTGGGCTTTGCAAAAAGCCCTGTGTGTTGGGATGGGGTCCTTGAGACCATATCTAAGGGCTTGGCCTGGTGCCAGCGCCGATAACCTCCTCTGGGGGTTGTGTATTGTTCGTGGTTTATGGCCGCTGTAAAATGTGAGCATTTAGGTAACAGGTCTTGCAAGACCAGATTGTGGAGAAAGGGGCAGTGACTTAATTATAGGTTATCAAGAATGTACATTAGGTTACTGGCACAGATTCAGATTGCTAGCCTCCAAAACATCAGGGTTACATTGGAGTTAGCCTTTTAGCCTTCTCAGTCTGTTGTTCTAGAGCTGAACAGCCTTCTCCGTGTAGGCTGTTCGCCTGTCTGCGGAGTGACCACTATTTGGCTCTCTTCCCAAAGAGTCCTGGCAGCTAGTGCCAGTTCGCTCCTCCGCAATGTAGGGCGTCATTTAACAGGAGCCCCTGGGGCGAAGGATTCCTCCTGTGTAGCCACCGGAATCCTCCGTTCACCGTTCACCGCCCTCAGGAAAAGGCTTTTTCAGATCACACCCTGAATGACTATTTAATCTTTAATGGGGCCAACACGTCCAGACAGAACAAGGAGCAGACAGTGACTCCGGCTCTTCCTTGGGGATTTACCGGGCTTCATGGTCTGACTGCTGTGCTGTGTGTCTGATTATGGGGTGGATGGGGATTGAGTCCACAGTATCTTCCATCATGAGATAATACAGGACCATGTTGTCGCTAATCCATAGGCACAAGACAGCCACAGGCCCTGCCCTCCTGGGGTGGCAGTCAGTCTGATGGAGGAGGCAGACTAATAAGGGCAGGTGTGAAGAGGGTTTGCTGCAGCACGTAGCAGTGGTCACTGAAGGGGGGTTGAGAGGGGTGTCTGAACAGAAGACTTAGAATGAGACACTGCGGGGGAGGGGAAAATTTCCCCTTTTAGTTATTCTGGCTGGCCTAATAATCAAATGGACATGAGACAGATCAACAGGAGAAGATGATCAAATGTAGTTATGTATGTGCATACAAGGGTTCCTGTAAGACAAGGGGACCCAAGGGCAAATCTGACAGGTGAGGTTTCTATGCCATCTTGAGCCAAGGAGAAAGGGAGTAATGGTTTATATTTCTAAGAGAAGGTAGGCAATTCACAGAGAGAGATGGGAAGGAACTAAATATTTGGTAAACAAATTCTTGCAGGTCTACCCAGAAACAATGGGACACAGAGGGGAGTCCAACAAACAGACTTCCTGGGTTCCTCCCTGTCTGCCACACTTAGTTTATGTTAAAACATAGTTGTCTGTGATTATAGCTCTCTTCCTGGAGCAGGTTCTCGGTCTAAATTCCTTTAGGCAATTTTTGGAGAAGGTCAAAGTTTCTTCCTGAGGCTTGTTTTTAAAAAATAAACCATCTTAAAATAAACAGTATTCCCAAAAAAAGGGCATATTTGAGGTGGGAAACCTCTCCTCCCCTTCAACTCAAAGAAAGAATTCACCAGATGAGGAGAGGTGGGAAGGAGTGATCCAGGGAGAGGGAACAGAATATGCCGAAACCCAGGTGCCAGAGGGACCCTGCTGTGTTCAGCTGGGAGAAGAAGAGAGAATAAGCTGGGGAGATGGGGAGGGCCCACATCCTGTTGGACCTCCTAGGACAGGCGTTCTCAACTGAGGGCAGTTTTGACCCCCAGGAGCCTTTGGCAAGATTGCTCAGTTGTCACAAATGTGTTTTTGTGTGTGTGTGTGGGGGGGGGGGGGGGGGCGGCGGCGGGGGGAGTGGCTCCTGGCATCAACTAGGTAGAGGCCCTGGATGCTGCTAAACATCCTGCCAGGCACAGGACAGCCCCCTGGCAACAAAGAATGATCCAGCCCCAAATGGTCAATAACGCTGGTGTTGAGAAACTGGGTCTAAAGACTTTGTTCCTCCTTCTAAAGCCAAGAGGAAGCTATAACCGAGTTTTACAGGAGAGGGACAGGATCAGATTTGTGTTTTAAAGTGATCAGTCCAGCTGCTCTGAGGAAATGTTGAGATCCAGCTGTTCTAGTTCAGGGCCACTCCTAGTAGTACTGGACTCTTTTCTCCAGCGTGGGAATTTCCAGCCTCTGTGGTTCCCCCCGAGCCCCCCACCCCCATCCCCACCCCCAGGACTTACCCTGGACTGCTTCGTGGACCTCTAGGCCTCTAGGAAACCCCATCCAGGTCAGAGAAACCAAGTCAGATACTTAGTAAGAACTAAGCAGGCCAGGGGAGTTTCCACTGAGCACAACAGGCACAGCACTAGGGCCTGTAAAATGCTTAAGGCCCATGTGTCAGGCAGAAAATGGTCCCCCAAAGATGTCCCAATCCCCAAAACCTGTGAATATGTTACTATACACGGCAAAGGGATTTTGCAGATGTGATTAAACTAAGGAACTTGTGAAGTATGGTAGCAATCATCTCAAGTAGAAACTCTAGTTTAACTTTAACCCTGCTGTTTGGCTTCTGTACTTATTTGCTTTGCTTAACAATAGAAAAGTTATTTTGATTTTCTGAATTATATAAATCATCCCATTCGATTGAATGCCTTATTGATTGTAACGTGACTATCCCATTGATTGTGGTCATACTGGTTTTAGAAAGCACATTCTGCTGTACCTGGGAACCAGGACAGCACACTTATCCCAAGACCCGAGGGCTCCAGATAATGTGTTTCTGTCAACTCAGTGGTCCGAAGACCCAAAACTATAATTAATCTTTGTAGATAACCAATCGGCTCAATCTCGCTTCTGTAACTGTTTTGTGCAAACCAGGGTCCTCATTCCAAACCCTGGGATGTAATCAATACCTTTGTGATCTTTGAGTATATAAATCTGATGTTGGGGCTGGGGAGGGCACTGCGAGATTTGGGAGAGCGAAATGCCCTCTCTCGTAGCCCTGCATTTGCAATAAATATGAGTCCTTAATTCGACTTCTTAAGGTGTCCTTGTGTGATTCGCAGGGCACATTACAACACTTGGAATGGCAAGATTACCCTGGATTATCTGGGTGGGCCAATGTAATTAGAAGGGTCCTTGTAAGAGGGAGACAGGAAGGTCCGATTCAGAAGAGATATGGTGACAGAAATGGCAGGGCGCGCGCGCGCGTGTGTGTGTGTGTGTGTGTGTGTGTGTGTGTGTGTGTGTAGGGGAAGAGATTTGATGATGCTATGCTGCTGGCTTTGAACATGGGAGGTGGGGCCAGTACAATAAAATAATAAATTTGTGTGCCACTAAATTTCTGGCAATTTGCTAACATAGCAATAGGAAACTAATACAGCCTGGGAGAAGTATTAATGGACTCTGGCTTAAAAAAACACACCCTGCAAAACTGAAATGAATAATGACATTTTTCAAAACTTATAATATTTAATAGATGTAAAAATGTGTAAAGGCTTATATAACACACAACCAAGTATTATCCACTCAAGTTAAGAAATAACCCATACAACTTCATTTTCCTATCTTCCTTCGGGAGGTGATCAGTATCCTAAATTTGGCATTTATTATTCCCATACAGTTTTATACCTGTATCTCCAATCAATATGTAATACTGCTTTGCATGTTATTCTATATAAGTGACATCATGGTGTGTGTTTGCCTATGCAACTTTTTCTTTTATATTTAATGTGCTTTGAGATGTGGGCGAAAGAGGCCGCATGCTAACCTGACAAGCTCAGGGAAGGCCTGCACGGCGGTCTTGCAAACTCAAGACCTAAAGTAACCACAAAGGATGGTCTAAAATTGAAACTTTAACTAAAAGCAGTTATGGTAGGTAGTCATGTCCTAGGTCTGTATTTTCCCTGAGAACGTCAATCTTTACCTTAACTTTTTGCATCTAAGATAACGTACCTATGAAACCTCAGAGTCACTTGTAACTTCCCTTTTTCTGGACCCCTCGGGGCACAACCAAATGCGGTTGTCCTGGGGGCCAGGACAGAGACCATAAATTTCTTCATTGATATTGTTACCATGTTAAATGTTACTGTACCCATCTAAGTAAAAGAAGTTTGTGGCTGAAACCGGTTTGGCTCAGTGGATGGAGCGTCGGCCTGCGGACTGAGGGGTCCCAGGTTCGGTTCCGGTCTAGGGCATGTGCCTGGGTTGCGGGCACATCCCCAGTGGGAGGTGTGCGGGAGGCAGCTGGTCGATGTTTCTCTCTCATCGATGTTTCCAACTCTCTATCCCTCTCCCTTCCTCTCTGTAAAAAATCAATAAAATATATTAAAAAAAAAAAAAGAAGTTTGTGTCTATCACTTTACTTTTTATCCAATCCCAGAGGTCTCTTCCCTTTGCTTTCTATCACCAATAGTTTTCATGTAACCTGCTACGTCTCCTCCTTTGATTATAATGTATAAAACAAAGTGAAAAACTGTCATTCTCCGGAGCATTATCCCAATCCGTTGAGATTCTGCTTCCCGGCAATTGTCGACAGTTTGGCTCACATAAATTCACAAAAAATTCTTTACAGGTTTGAATGTTTTTATGTTAACAGAAAATTACTATTGTTGAATTATTCTAGTGACTACATGTTACCCGATTGCATGAGGGCGTCATGCTTAATTTATCAGTTCTGCTCATCAGCATTTAAGTTGTTATCAGTTTGGCTTTTACAAACAATGGAGCCGTAAACATTTTTGAGCTTGTCTCTTGGTGCATTTCTGCATGGGTTTCTCCGGGGTTGATTTCTAGGAGTGAAATTGCTGGGACCTTAGATGAACACGTTTTCCAGAGAGTTCCAAAGTGCTCCTCACAGAGGTCAGGCCAATCTTTATTCAACCAGCAATGCACAGGCCAGGCGGTGATATTGTTAGACTGTAAAATTTTTGCTGATCTGATGTGTGTGAAATAATATTGTGTTGTGATTTTAACTTTCATTTGCTGGATTGCTATAAAATTAAGCACCTTTCCCTATGTCTTATAGGTCATCTCTGCTTCTTCCTCTATAAATTGCCTGCTCATTTCTTTGCCCATTTTTTTAAATATATATTTTATTGATTTTTTACAGAAACATCGATCAGCCGCCTCCTGCACACTCCCCACTGGGGATGTGCCCGCAACCCAGGTACATGCCCTTGACTGGAATCGAACCTGGGACCTTTCAGTCCACAGGCCGACGCTCTATCCATTGAGCCAAACCGGTTTCGGCTCTTTGCCCATTTTTAAAAATAGAGCTAGTTTTCTTTCTCTCATTAGTTTGTAGAAATTCTTTATATTATGTTTGATACTAATCCTGTGTGTGTTGTAAATATCTTCTTCCCCCTTTTTGTGGCTTGTCTTTTCATGAAGACATGGTGTCTATGAAGGCAGGGATATCATCTTATTCCAAGGCAGCATTTGGGCAGAAATTCAGTTTCATGATCCACCCAGGACTTGAAAATAAGTTATCTAGTCTGTTAACTTACTTTCAAGACTGGGTTGGTCCAGATAGTTAAAGGTGTTCCATAAAATGATTTTCGAAGTGAGGAGTATCTTCTGGAGACGTTCAGTTTTGTTAATGATTTCTCATGAAATGATACCCAAATATTTATTTAAATCAAATATCACAAACTCAATGCCTACAGGGGCCCGGTGGATAACATAAAAGATTAAAATGGGCTGGGTGGCACATACAGCCTTCTTAGAGGCACTTATTTGAGGCTGCCTTAAGTGTTTAATCCTCACAACAACCCTGTGAAGTAGATGCCAGTATTAGTCTCATTTCACAAATAAGGAAACCTAGGCTTGGAGAGGTTAAGCAACTTGCTCAAGGTCACATCATCCAGGTAGTAAAAAAAAACAACCACCACCAGGATTCAAAGCTAGGCTGTCTGCCTTTGGGGCCCACAACCCTAACTATGATGCTAAAATGCTGCTTCAGGTAGAAGAAATAGGTCACATTTCTCTTAACTGTACTACAAGGAATATGGCAGTGCTGATGAGATTATGAATGGCACTGGGCAGTGGGCCTCAGTGTTTAAGTACTAATAATTAAATTCAGTAACTTTATAATATAGCTCTGGTCAAATAAAATATTTTTGTGGGCTGCCACATTATGACCTTTGACATGGCCCAGAATGAATTGTTTGTTTACAACCTGAACTACCCCCGGGGTAACCAGGTTCCTAAGAGCCATGTACACTACAGGAACCTCTTTCCAGTCACAAGTACCTCCCTGTAATATGATGCTGAGGAATTTGGAGTCCTCAGTACAACCTCACAGACTTTAATCATATCTCACAGCGTCTTTCCAGACCGAAGTTGCCATTGATGCAACAGTCACAGGACCTGGGACTGATGTTCCTGGTGTCCACTGGCTTTCCACTGAACCTTGTGAAAATGATTGTTTTTTTTCCTCCCAGGCCAAAGCAAGTGTCTTGATATCTGTCACTTACTTGAAAATACTGCAGCATTGACGTGCAATGCTGTTTAGTTAGTTAGATTAAGCTTCCATTCCAGGGGCAATCTATGCCCCAGAGGCGTCAGCCAGCATTCTATCACAATGGTCGGCTGCCAAGGTGGCCCTTACAAGTGCTGTATTTTGCTCTACAGCAGACATTGCTAATCAGCCCAATGATATAAATGGATTTTATCTGATGAATTTAGTGGCTTGGTAATTAGCACGGGGAATGATAGATAACAGCTCTTACTGATGAAACTAAAGATAGTCAAGGTATGTGAATAGGTTAGAATATTTTAGAGGCATTCCTCACATTTGCCCAAACAGGGTTTAAGAGTCTAGTAAGG